CGAGGCTGGACGCGCCCCCTTTGCCCGCGCTCCGCCGGCGGTGGAGCTCCGGGCGCGGGTATTTCTGTTTCCCCAGATGTCCTGCGGGTATGCACGGCCCTGTTGGCCCGGCCTCCGACCCCCACGCCCCCCAGCCATGATGTCAGGATTCTGGGCACCAAGCAGAGAGCTGGCATCAGTGAGTCTCCCCCTCACTCGGGGAGAGCCCACACTAGTAAAGAGCCAAAGACAAAAATCTGAGCCTGAGTGGAAGTTGTCGTTAGTGTCTGGCCCTGCAGCAGGCAACTCCACCATCCCAGGCCTCAGTTTCTCCGCTCAGGTAGTAGACTACCCCTTGCCATCCACCTAAGTCCCTGTCGGTGGGAATGCTGTACCAGGACAGAAAAATGGATGCGGCACATGTGAACAATTAACAAACTGAGGTGCATGAATGATGTTTCCTGAAAGTAACAGCTGGGAGAAGGCTGCTGCTGCAGGTTGGGCCTGGAGATTGGAATACAGGAGGTTTAGGAGGAAGCACCCTTAGGATCAGTAGCAGGGAGGGAACACAGGTGGCAGAGAGAGAAGTGGAGAGCTCAGGCAGGACTAAAGGCGACTCACCCAACAGGGCTGCAAGCTAAAATGGTCCATCAAAGTTGTTTGCAGATGAGCTAAGGTGGCCAGGCCTTTGTTCCTCAGTCCTCCTCAGTCACTAAATACAGGGCTAGGTGGGAAGACATAGCAGAGCCAAGAAGATCCAGTATTGACTGTTAAAGACTGTATGAGAAAAGTACTTCCCAGGAGCTGTTGTTACTAGTCTACAAAGACAAAATTAGAGTGTTACATCACAGAGTTTTCCAGGCTCTAGAAAACAATATTGAATCTCATAAAGAGCCAGGCATGAGGCTAGATCCTCCAGGAACTCACATCATTATATGAGGAAGCAGGCAGACTGGAGATTTAGAATATTGTGATCATCTCTCTCTCTGTTTCTGTCTCTCTGCTGGTTCTGAGACTTGAACTCAGGGCCTGTGTAATCTCCTTGAGCTTTTTGTGCTCAAGGCTAGAACTCTTATCATTTGAGCCACAAATACACTTCTAGATCTCTTAGTGTTTATTTGAAGAGTCTCACAGACTTTCCTGCCCAGGTTGGCTTTGAACTGTGATCTTCAGATCTCAGCCTCCTGAATAGCTAGGATTACAGGTTTAAGCCATCAGTGCTGTCACTGGACGCAGATAGAGGTTTGTGCCTACCTTTAGAGGTAGGGACTCTTAGGTTCCTTGACTTTGATTGCAGAATAAGAATTTCTGGACAAGTCATAATGGTAAGAAAACTTGGCAGAGCTTTATTAAGTAAGCAAGCAGGCAAGCAGAAAGGCAGGGGCATGCTCCAACAGAGTGTGAGCACTCTCAAGAGGAGAGACACCCTGGGCTGACCTCAGGGGTATTTATATGATAAAGGCAGGGTCTGACTTAAAGTTATGCAGATAAGTATTTAATCTTTGCTCCTAAGCA